TAGAAGTAGCAGTAGACGTAGTAGTCGTAGTAACGGTAATTGTATTTAATAGTAGCAGTAGTAGTTGTAGTAGTAGTTGTAGTAGCGGCAGTAGTAGTAGTCGTCGTTGTAGTAGTAATAGTAGTAGTAATCGTAGTAGTAGTAGTAGTAGTAGTAGTAGTAGTAGTAGTAGTACTAGTAGTAGTACTACTAGTAGTAGTAGTAGTAGTAGTAGTAGTCGTAGTAGTAGTAGTAGTCGTAGTAGTAGTAGTAGTAGTAGTAGTAGTAGTAGTAGTAGTAGTAGTAGTGAGAGTAGTAATAGTCGTAGTCGTGGTAGCAGTAGTGGTAGTAGTCGTGGTAGCAGTGGAAGAAGAAGTAGAAGTTGTAGTGGTCATCGTAGTGGTAATCTCAATCGTCGTAGTAGTCGTAGTAGTAGTAGTAGTAGTAGTAGTAGTAGTAGCAGTAGTAGTAGTAGCAGTAGTAGTAGTAGTAGTAGTGGTAGCCGTAGTAGTAGCATGAATGATATTAGTCGTAGCACTCGCACTATTAGTAGTAGTCGTAGTAGTCGTAGTAGTAGAATGAGAAACTGCCGTAGGAGTAGTAGTAGTAGTAGTAGTAGTAGTAGTAGTAGTAGTCGTCAAGCTATAGAAGAAGTGGTACTGGCAGTACTAGGAGCTAATTTCGTTCTAGTAGTAGTAATCGTACTAGTAGTAGTAGTCGAATTTGTAGACGTAGTCGCAGTAGTCGTAATCGTGTCGTTCTCGTCGTCCACGGCGTCGTCGTCGTAGTCGTAGTCGCAGCCGTAGGTGTAGGAGTAATAGCCGTAGGGATATTTTCAGTAGTGGGAGGAAAAGGGAACCCCAAGAACCCCTACGACTTGGTTGGAATCCTTCGGGGTGCTCCGGGTCCTTCGGGCACCCGAATGGAGCCCTAGGGACCTAGGAACCCCGAGGAATCCCAGCAGTTGCCGCCGCGGGAGGATAGCATTTTCCAAGTGACGGTTGCGGTCCCAATCCGTCAATGCGCCCGTCCAACAAAAAAAACGTTTCCATTTTTTGAAGGTGGTTGATCAAGGCTTCTAGGTCACAGCCAGTGCCGCCCGCCGACCCTGAAGGGGGACGACGAAGACGACGACGACAACGATGATGATGACGACGACGGCGGCGACGGTGCAGGCGACGACGACGACGATAAGGCAAGGACGCGGAAAGCATCTAAGCGTCAATTGAACATCAGTAGGGATCGTCTATTTGGGCCCTCTTTGGATTCCTCTTGGAGCATTGGTGGGATGTCTGGGTGTGTGTGAGGCCGTTGCAATATTGTGCCATCCTCGTATAGTTGATGGTCTGCGTACGTGTGGCAGTGCGTTCGACGTACTTGTTGACTCCCCCTCTCCTTCTAGAGCTTCGGCGTCGCGCTGACCCAGGCCGCGTTTTGCCCTGCTTCGGCACTGACCGCGGCGATGTCGATGGGCCGACGCGGGCGACACTGCAGGGATCGCGCCCGTCCTCGCCGTCGCCGTCGTCGTCGTCCTCCTCCTCCGTCGTCGTCCTCGTCCTCGTCCTCGTCGTCGTCGTCGCCGTCGTCGTCGTCGCTCCTTTGCGGCGGCCTCCTCTCCCCCCGTGGAGGGGAGGGGGGGGGCGGCGGGCGCCTGCCCCCGCGAGGCCTCGGCCCGTGGCCCGCGGCGGCGCCCGCCGCGGCGCCCACGTCCCCCGCGGCGCAGGAGCCGGGCCCGCCGCGGGGGCTCCCGGGGGGGGGGGGGGCTCGAGGGTCGGCTGGAAGACACAACTCGAGGTACCTTCACCTCGGGAAGCCTCCCAACGTTTAAGAACTGTTGCTCAAACGGCGGCCACACTTGAAGAACTGAAATCGAGCCTATGGCGAGACTTAGACACTCACTCTCACAGTGTCCTCGAAGTCATTCAATTCCTGGGGGCTCCCAGGGGGGGCTCGAGGGTCCAGGCTGGAGGGTCGAGGGCCCGCCGGGGGGAGGGAGGGAGGCGGGCAGGGGGAGGGAGGGGTGGAGGCGGAGGGAGGGAGGGGTGGAGGAGGAGGGAGGGACCTGGAGGGAGGGGGGGAGGAGGAGGGAGGGAAGAAGAGAGGGAGAAAGGAGGGAGGGAGTTGGAGGGAGGGAGGAGGAGGAGGACGGAGGAACGGAAGGAGGGAGGGAGGGAGGAGGAGGACGGAGGAGGAGGAAGGAAGACGAGGAGGAGCAAACGGGCCGTCGGCTCCAGCATTCGGGGCTGAAACAGGGAGGGGCGTGTGCTGAACTGGCCCCCCGTACTGTCTCCGTTGCCAACAGTGGGCTGGTCGGGGCAGGCCGGCAGCATGCGATGCCGTCGTTGCATTGCAGTGCGGCTGGTCGGGGCATGCCAATTACAGGTCTTGGTGTTATCAGGCGATCGCAAACATGGATCAAGGGGCGTCGATCAGCGACGGGACCCTTTTCCATGGGAAATCGCAGATTTCCGCCACTGAGTGAGGCGGCACCGGCCGCATTTGGAGGAGGGCAGCTTCCCCGATCAATGGATTTGGCGACAGTGCGCCACATCCATGGATCGCTAATCCATGTTTGCGAGCCCCCGACAATTGCAGGTGCTGCTGCTGTTGTGGGTCAATGGGGGGCTATCTGGCTAATTTCCTCCTCCTCTTCCTCCTTCTCCATCTCCTCCTCCTCCTCCTCCTCCTCCTCCACCTTCTCTCTTGTCCCTCCTCCTCCCTCCTCCGCTACCAGCTTCCATGGTCGGCGCCTCGGAACTTTTTCGTCAAAAAGCGGGATCTACCCCGTTGGCGTGCGGGTTCCCCTTTGGAAGCTTCGAGTGGGGTGGGGATCGCTCGAGGCAGCATCTGTTTGGAGACAGTTGTTTTATCCCTTGGCGGTCATGGACGTGACGGGAGGAGGGAGGGGGGGGGAGATTCGGATTCTTTACCATCAGAACGACACTTCACAACCAAGATAGGTCACTTCACAACCAGCAAGGGATTCAAATCCATGGTTTTCCTTAGAGAACGACCGCTTTGCAACCAGAACAACCCACGTTACAACCAGAGCGACCACTTTACAACCCAGACGGGGCTCTTTGCAACCAGAACGGCTACTTTACAACCAGCCTTCAGCCGCGCGTGCGCGCTCTGCAGAGGCGTCTGAGGCTTCTGAGCGCCTGAGCGTTTTGCAGAAGCTTTTGAGCGCTACGCCCCCCCGAAAATGAGCGGGACGGGAGAAGGAGGAGGAGGAAGGGGAGGAAGAGGAGGGGAAGGACAGGAGGGTACGGGAGGGAGGGAGGGGAGGGAGGGAGGAAGAGGAGGAGGAGGAGGGAGATAAGAGGAGGATCCCCTCCTGAACGCCCCCCCCTCCTTTTCAGGACGGCCTGCTCGCCACGCGGCCGGTGGCCCCGGCGGCCCCCCAGGACGTGCAGGCGCGGCTTTCTTTCCGCTCTGAGGCCTTGGGGGCCGCGCGCCCGCCTCCAGCAATCGAAGGGGGCGCGGATTCTGGGCCGCCCGGAGAGGATCCGAGCAGGACACATGTGTTGCGTCTTTCGGCGATGAACGGGCGTGACTAGGAGGAGGGTTAAAACGACGCGAAGATCGAGATAAAATCGGATCGGGATAACTCGAAATCTCTGAGAATCAGGGGGGTTGGAGGATGTATTGGGCGCCGCGGCCGCTCCAGAGCGTTCCGAGACGCTCTGAGAGCGCTCACGCTCTGGAGCGATTTATCCCGATCCTAGCCCTGTTTTAAGGACACATGTGTTGCGTCTTTCGGCGATGCACGGGCGTGACCAGGAGGAGGGTCCTGATTCTCCCAATCCCCCCATCGTGGCCCCATATCGCCACCCCGCTTCGGCCGCCCTTCGCTTCTCCACCCTCTCTGGTGCGCCTAGCGTCTGGCGGAGGAGGAGGATCAGGAGGAGGAGGAGGAGGTGGAGGAGGAGGAGGAAGAAGGGGGGGAGGGGAAGAGGGGGGGAAGATGGGGAGGAGGAGGAGGAGGAGGAGGAGTAGAAGGAGGATAAGGAGGAGGAAGCGGAAGAGGAAGAGTAAGAGTAAGAGGAAGAGGAAGATGAAGAGGAATAATACACCTGATAATCACATAATAATACTAATAACATGCATATCAGAAGTCACCAACAATAATATTCATGGGAATAATACTATCAATCATACGTAGAAGCGGAAGCATTAGCACAAACATATTGATGGTAGCAATAAGGAGAAAATGAATATTAATGCTATTAGGAATATAACAATACACATAATGAGGATAATGAACATGATACTACGGGTACGAAGAGTACGGGTACTTAAACTTACAATAAGGAAAATACTACTAGTGCTAAACAGCATAAGACTCGTACTCGTAATACTCATAATAATATTACTGATAATAAGAAGGATGGTGATGATACTAGAAATAATGATAAGAGGAGGAGGAGGAGGAGGACGGGAGGAAGGGAGGAAGGGAGGAAGGGAGGAAGGGAGGAAAGGGGAGGAAGGGAGGAAGGGAGGAAGGGGAAGGGAGGAGGGAGGAGGAGGAGGAGGAGAAGGAGGGGGAGGGGGAGGGGAGGGGGAGGGGGAGGGGGAGGAGGAGGAGGAGGAGGAGGAGGAGGAGGGGGAGGGGAGGGGGGGAGGGAGGAGGAGGAGGAGGAGGGGGAGGAGGGGGAGGAGGATGAGGAGGGGCGGAGGAGGAGGGGGAGGAGGGGAGGAGGAGGAGAGGAGGAGGAGGAGGAGGAGGAGGAGGAGGAGGAGGAGGAGGAGGAGGAGGAGGAGGAGAGGAGGTGGAGGAGATGAGGGGGAGGGGGAGCAGGAGGAGGAGGAGGAGGAGGAGGAGGAGGAGGAGGAGGAGGAGGAGGAGGAGGAGGAGGAGGGAGGAGGAGGACGAGGGGGAGGAGGAGGGGAAGGAGCTGGAGGAGGGGAAGGAGGGGGAGGAGCTGGAGGAGGAGGAGGGAGCCCCTCGAGAGTCTGAGCGGGGCCTGCGCGCCGCCAGGCCCCGCTCGGCGAGGACTCGGACCGGTGGCGCTCCAGGGCGCGCCGCCCCCTCGCCCCTTGCCGGCCCCGCGCGGCCCGGGCCTCCAAGGTGCAGCGCCGATGCAGGATCATCGTGCATCGACGCTGCACGTTGCCTTCGTCGCCTTTCCCGAGCCCCCCGCCCCCTTGCTTCGTTTCCCCTCAAGTCTCGCGCATGGGTGCAGGCGGGGAGCTTCAATTGGCACCCCCGCCGAACGCAGCAATCGAGGATGCATCGCCCATTCATGGCCCATAGAGACACCATTTCCGGGACCCTGTACCCGACCCCCGTTTTCACCCTCTAACGATGTCGGCCACAGTCCCAGTCTTCAGTCGGGCGCTCTGGGGGCCTCGGAAACGGCAGGGCCGTTTTTCACCGTGTCCAAAAAATCGTGCCCCTTAAAGATGGAAGCGGCAAAAAAAAACGGCGACCGAGAACGGCAAAAAAACGGCTCCAGGATTGGAACCGGAGCCGGAACAGGTCAAAAAACGGCGACGGAACCGGTAAAAAAACGGCGTCGGAACCGGCAAAAGAACAGCAAAACGGAACCGGTAAGAAAACGGCCTTGTCGTTTCCGAAGGTCGGGCGTTTTCTTTTACAGGCGGGAAATTACGGGGCGTGACAACGACCGCGGCCACTGCTTTTCCGGCCACAAATGCCGCCTTCCAGCCCGCAGCAGCAGGGCAGTGGTTGTGGCAATTTTCGTTGAGCTTGGCACCAGGGAAATCGCCACAACCACTGCTGCTTTTTCGGGCGGCTGGAAGGCGGCGCAAACAAGAAGCAGTGGCTGTGGTCATTTTCCCGTCCCGCAGAAATCTCAAAATGGTAAAACATGGTCTGGGGGCGATGTTTCGATTTCTGTTGGACCACTTCGAGGTATGGTTGTGGTTCGCGTTCTTGAACAATTTCTTCCAGCATCCGCCCGTAGTGGGTCACGCCCGACTTCGCCCACAGTCCCCGACGCCCCCTCGAGCAACGACACGAGTTGCCACCGAAGGGAGCCCGCACCACTGCCGCCCAGTGCTGCGCCCGCCGGGGCCTGGGGCGCCGGGGCGGCTTGGGGCCGGGAGGGAGGCGACCACGACGGGTATACGGTCACCCAGAGGAGGAAGAGGCAGCAGTGCTGCTGCCCCTTGCCCCAGGCCCCCTCGAGGAATGAAGGCATCGGGGCGGGAGGTCTTTGTTGTTGTTGTTGAACATTATTAATTCTAAAGAATAATTATTGTTGGGACCCCTGGTGCGCGCCCCCCCCGCCGCGCCTAGGCCGCAGCCACATTTTCATCATTTTCGTGAGGAAGTCTCAGGCAAAACGTGGGTGTCCGGATCCGGTTGTGTTGTTACGATCGGTTTTCCCTTGCAAAAAATAAGGCACAGTGGACATTTCTTGTTCTAACATGACCAAACTTCAAGAATCCCTTGCAAAAAATGACACGAAGTGCACACTCGCGCGCGCAAGACGAAATCCTTCCAAAACCTTAGTCTTCGTAGCGATTTTCACATAAAAACATGAAAAACCCACTGGTTTTTCAAAAAAAGGGTTTCAAACATTCACCCCGCGCGCTCTTGCGGATTTCTTAGGAAAGCCAATACTTTTTCAACATTTCTGTCAAACGGGCTCTTGCGAGCAACTTTTTCACGTGCTTCGAACTTCTGCAACAAAGGTTGCGCGCCTGCCAGGGCCATCATCCCTGTCAAATAATACCATATGGGACACATTCGTTTTTTCTTCGCGCGCGCACGCCGAAATCTTCAATTGCAGGGGGAAAAGCCGTATACTAAGCTAGACTACAGAAAATGTTACCACAACAAGTCATTGTACCCATGCGCCAGTGTAGTAGCCAAGGTCGTCCGCAGGCCACGAAGTGAAGTGTCCGAACGTCATAGGGCGGGAAGCTGGGTGTGGGTGGTGGCGAGGAGTCGTTTGGAAACTTGGTAGAGCTTGAACCGGCCCCCCCACAAAGTGGGGGTATTGCCCGCCTCCTATGAAAACCCTGGCACTGGTGAGAACGGAGTGTCCCCAGTCTTAAATGATTGTTGTTGTTGTTGTTGTTGGTGGTGGTGTTGTTGGTGTTGTTGTTTTTGTTCTTGTTATTGTTGTTGTTATTGTTGTTCTTGTTGTTATGGTTCTTGTTGTTTTTGTTATTGTTCTTGTTGTTGTTATTGCTATTGTTGTTGTTGCTGTTGTTGTTGTTGTTGGTGTTGTTGTTGTTGTTGTCATTTCCGGCATCTCGGGGCCCTCTCCCGGTCTCGGGACCGTCGGAAAACGACTCGGGGTGGGAAGCCAAACCCAGGGAATGGGTCGGGACTTCTGGGGTCGACGTTAGGAGCAAATCATGACGGCGGTGGTCTGGGGTCGTGCAGCGTCGATTCACGATGTCGGCTACAGTGGAGGCCGATGCCAAGAAACACCCTGCTTGCCTCCAGGGTGCCCTGGGATTCCTTGGGTTTCGATGTGTTTGCGATGAAAGGCGTAACGTTCCCACACCAAACGTCAAGGGACGTCGTCCTGGGGTCTCAGGGTTGGGTTTATTGTGGGAGGTTTCTTTCGGTCGGGCCACAGCTGTACTCGCAACAGCGATTCTTCGCCAGAGGGCGCCTGGCGCGGGCACACCGGGGCCCCCAGATGGCCGAATGCGACGCCGCGCAAGCGGTTTGCGCGCTCGGGTTCGGCCTTCCCGCGACCTCCGAGAGAGACGCGCATGAGCTGTCCTTTTTTGCTGGGGGCCACTCCTGCGATAGCCGACGTTGACCCGCTCGCGCAATCCGGGGCGCTGTTCGGGGCCCCGTCGCGGTCCAGTCCCCGGTTCGATTCGGCTGTTCGCGACCCAGCTGCCGCCTCGATCCGCTGGCAATTCGCAGCGATCCAGGCCTCTTGGGAGCCTCTTGGGCCGTCTCGGGGCGGTCTTGGGGGCCTCGTGGAGCGCCCTCAACGCCGTGAAAGCCGACAAGCCGTGCATGCTTAAAATGTACCCTTTCCAGCAGGAAATCCATGCTTTTGGCCTCTTCGTGGCCTCTTGGGGCGCCTCTTGGGGGCCTCGCTTTTGCGACCAGGCTTTCGAGGCGAAGCCACAGCCTGCCGTGTGCGCGCTGGCGCGCAAAAGGCCGCCCGCGAAGGGCCGGGATCGCCCTGTCAATTCCTGCGCGCATTGCGTGCCGCGCCGCCGGCCCGGCCTGCAATGTGTCCGCGTGCGTGGGCCCGGCGCTTCAAACGACGCGCAGATCGGGATACAATCGGATCGGGATAACTCGAAATCTCTGAGAATCGGCGGGTTTGGAGGATGTATTGGGCGCCGCGGCCGCTCCAGAGCGTTCCGGAACGCTCTGAGAGCGCTCCGGAACGCTCTGGAGCGATTTATCCCGATCCTAGCCCCGTTTTAGTCCTCCTCCCCGGGCTCCCCTCGCCGCGAGCCCTCGAAGAGCGGAGGGCGGAAAAGAGGGGGGTGATGACCAGGGGGGGTGGATCTCATGGCGGGGGCCAGGATATTTCCCCAGATTTCCTGGCGCCTCTTCTTATTTCATTGCGTCCCTGGCCCCCCCGCTGGGCCGCGAACGTGCCGCTGGTCATGATTTGCACCACCCCCCTCTTGGACACCCCCCTCTTGGCCGCTCCCGAAAAGAGCGGAGGGAGAATCCGATGGCTTCCCGCCTCCAGGGGATCCGGTGGCGAGAGGCTCGGGATGGAGAGCCGGACCCGGGCAAGGGGTGTGTAGACCCGTGGGGGCCCGCGATGCGGAGAACAAGAAGGCAAGCACCGTCAGACAGTGGGGTTCCGCCGCTCCTTTGAGGGCCACTCGGCGGGCTTCTTAGAGGGGCCTGGGGATTTGCTTCTGGGGGGGGGGGGCCTCTTCGGGGATTGCCTCGTGGTTTGGAGAGCGAATCCTGGGGGACGGCCCTTGGACCCCCTCAGAGGTCTCGCTTTTTAGACCTCGGTTTTGGGTCTTGGGTCTTGGGCGCTGGGGCGACAGCCAGAGAGGAGGATGGTAACGTCGACGAGGGGGCACGAGAAAAGGAGGAACAGGGGATGGAGGAGAGAATGCCACACAGCAGCACTGCGGGCAGAGGATCCGACAGTCGAGGGCGCAGCACCACAGCGGGCAGTGGATCCTATCGCTATTCCGACGCATCGGGGCATCTATCGACATCGTAGAGACTCCCCGCAGCATGTCGCTGCCCTGGAAGCAGCATATGCATGTGCTGGGGTAGATCTCATGGCCAGGGCCCTGAACTCTCCCAGGTTATATGCCCCCCTTTTTCTTTCAGCACGTCCCTTGTTCCCATCCCTGGTCCGCGCACGTCCCTCAGGGCATGACTTGCCAATCCCCTCCTCCACGCTCCCCTCTTGGACGCACCCGAGTGTGGAGGCAGGGGCGCACCTCCGTCATGTTTGAAGCCGCATGTATATAAGCCTTTTGCCCGAACCAACGGTTGTGCATATATATATATATATACACATATGCATTGATGTATATACGCATGCACAGGCTCTTATCCATCGTGGACCCTGAACAGTGAGTTTCTAACACAGCACACGTTGTGCAATTTATGTGGTGCGACCTACGTGCATCGATATGTTTTGTACAACCTACATTGTGCAATCGATGTGGGGCAATCGATGAGGTTCGAACCCTGTAATGCAATATATGCCGTGCAACCCATGTCGTGCAATGTATGTTGTGCAAACCCCCGTGTGCCAACAAGCAAGTGTATCCTGTTTGGCGTCCCGATGTTTGTGGCCATTTGGGCTCAGGCGATCGGCAGATTTTGAACAAAGGTTGGGCGCAGATAGCGGTTCTTTGGCCGCGCCCTCGACGCCGCGCGGCGGCGGGCCCGCATGGCGTTGCATGCGTACGATCTCCTCGGCCCGCGCTTGGCGTTGCAGTTCGAGGGAACGGAACGCTCGAGCAATCAGTGGCGGCCGCGGACTTCAGCCCTGAATAGGCCATGCTGCAGGGCGCCGTGACGTGCCTCGGGGTGGCGGCCAGCCGAGGGGCGCCCGAAACCCAGCCGCCGCCGGGGGCC